CAATGAAACAAACAAAGTTTATTATAGAACAAGAGATTCTATACATAAGTTCACAGTATACGCATCTACTGTCCCAAAATTTGTACCGTTATGATATACTGTTTCAAATTGCCAAAGACGTGTTGAGATCTGCCTAGCCCAAAACTCTTTGATAACAACCTCCCTCTATCTAACATTTTTCGTCTTTTACCTAGCTTGACTGTACAGTTAACCGATCGGTTGAAGCTAGCTCTACTAACAGCTAGTTGGATCTATCGGTTGACTGCCCGGCTAACCTAGTAGACAACCCCCATCTGTCTAACATATTTCTTCTTTTACCTAGCTTGACTGTACAGTTAACCGATCGGTTGAAGCTAGCTCCACTAACAGCTAGTTGGATCTATCGGTTGACTGCCCGGCTAACCTAGTAGACAACCCCCATCTGTCTAACATATTTCTTCTTTTACCTAGCTTAACCGTTCGGTTCTAGGTTGGACTACATATTGAGAAGCTAACTCACCCGGGTAGGAAACCGATCTACCTAGCTTAACTGCCCATTCCTAGCTCATTTTTTTTTGCTTGGGTACTTCCTTCATACAAAGGCGGAGAGATGGCTAGTGTGAGTGCGTAACAAAACAACATTCCGTGTGCGTTTCTAGTCGAATATACGTTAGATATACCCTAAATTGCCTAAATATCTGACATTCTATCTGAAAATTTTTTTAGCGTGACAAATAATTGTTTTCTATTTGAGCTTAAGCTCAATCCAGATAGTATTTTTATCAATATATAGACCAAAGAGTTACAATTCTTTACTGATATCGTTTTGGAGAATTATATAATTAAAAAGGCGCAGCCGTTATTCTCAGCGACTTTCTAGTCAATTATCTCTAGTGCTGAGTTTTCTGTTGCTCCAGCACAAATAAAAAGTATTAGTCTAGTCTACAACACGGGCTATCTTTATATTGTTTGAGATAAAATTTAGTCCTTCAAGAAATCAGTTTTTCCTAATGAGGAACTGTTCTCCTCTTTCTTGGTGTGAAAATAAATTTTTTGATTTATTGAACGACCAGTAAACCTTCATGCCTCAACACTATCAAATGCCTTACGAAAATCGAGAAAGACAGTCACAACCTGTTCGTTGTTGCCGAATGCTAATAAGGATCTTACTGAGGAGTTCAAAGTTAGCTAAATACTCATGTAATTTTCGGTGAACAGTGAATTCAAGAAGTTTGGACAGGATTTATATAAAGTACAATAAACTCATTAACAATAGTAATCAGAAGTATATGATGATAAAGATATTCCTGAGTGTCCTGAGTAATGAAAAAATGTTTTCATGCAGATATTTATTGGACATGATATACAATATAGTACAAGTCGAAAAAGACTATAACACAGAATAAGCTAATAATAAATATTTACAATATGAATGTTTTCTACATTTTGACAACTTGTACTTTATTTACAATAAAAACATCAATAGACGTGTTGTTACATGAGAGAAATATGGACCAGCCGTTCACGTCAAACAAAAGTGGAACTTTTTCATGAAATGCGCGAAATAGTTACGTTGGTTGTCGAAGGCCCAATTTGACTAACTTGCCTATTTGCCGTTGCAAATGCACCATTAATTGCTTGAACAGCTTGAGCAACGTATCCTTGAAGTTGTTTCACATCCGGCTTGAGTTGAGCGATTGCTTGGAATATAGGCCATTGGACACAAAAATCATTCACAAATATCACATCAGTAATGTCTCCGTTAATTGATAATTTTAGATAATTTTCGTCATATATGAATAATCTCACCGGTAAAACCATACTACAAAACAAAAACGGTGAAACTTCATAAAAAAGCTTTAGATGGAAAAAAGTGCGCTTAATATGATTCCGTAGCAAAAATGAGTGTGTCCGCTTGAATGAGTTACTATTTGGTTAGGGTAAAAGTACTTACATATGGGTATCCCGTTAATTTGACATCAGCTACACATGCCGCATTGGCATCTGCTAATATCTTTGCATTAACTTGTAGAACAGATTTCGTGGCAACAGTTCGCACATTTTGTTGTAGAAAGTTTTGCGCAATGGTTTTACCAGCATTTACATACATGTTGCACACTTTCGTAGCGTCAAATTTAATTGGAACTGGTAGAAAAGTCAATGGTTTACCGGTACAGCCACCTTTGACACAAACGCCAGTTGAACTGGAAACCAGGTTATCAGGTTGCCAGAGATTTAAATCATAATAATAGTCTGGTAATGAGTAGGCATATTGAAATGGGATCTAAAATATTTCATTCCTCACCTTTTGTGTTTTGTCCAAAAAAGATTCAAAATATTTTACCCATGTATGATAATAGATATATGCAGCAAAGGAACCGGCCCCGTAGTATACATAATATTGACTTCCGTATTGAGTAATTGAAACACCACCTAAAGAGGTAGATAATGAGGATGATTATTGAATAATTGAAATCACTTACTTCCAGCTGGACAACATGAAGAGGGACTGTTTTGTAAACATGTTGAATCAACAACACACTTTGCATTCAATGGTCCTGTGCCACCACTACCATCCAAAAACATGAATTCGAACTATAATGTGTAGGAAAATGAATGTGCATTTAAGCGATTAATATTTATTATTACTTGTCAGATAAGGATATGATAAAGCTCTTACATAATGTGTTGTATAAGCTGGACTAACAAATATTGTTACGATAACCCATTTGTTTTTTAACAATACTAAACAGCCATGCTGATAACAATTTAATTGTCCTGGATTGGGCTGCTTTAATGTTGCAAATGGTATAATGTGAGGATCACCGGACAGGTAACACCAAGCACCAGCAGCTAAATTTACAAAATTCATTTCACATACGAGAATGCCTGTGTGCATACTGTCACAGTATGAACAGTGGAAGACATAGAATATCACACTAACGTGCTTAAGCAGTCGATCATCTTACCTCTATTAATTGTCGCATAAACGATGGCTAAAGCAAATATTGCGAATAACATTATTAGAAATTTGATAAGTAAGAAGATATAAACAGTGGTTACTCACGTTGTGTGCTTTTATAGGGTTTATACAACGCAGGTCTTTAGAAGCCTTGACAATCGAACCATGACACTTAATCTATATTTAGTTCATTTATAAAAGTCATGCATGTTTTTACCTACATTCTTTTTTTTCTTTGTACGAGCAGAATAATTGACATTAATTTGCTCCTGGCTAAAAGCCACGTACGTCAATGATTTGCGCAATTCATTTAACACAAAGAAGAACATGGCCGAATTTATGTATGGTCGACATAAAACATTCGGTCAGACAAGGGCAAAACATATAAAATCCGATTAAACGGGTGCTCAACGTACAAAAAAGAAACGCAACTAAGATTTTGTTCAATACCCGAACCGCGGACGACGAACAGAAGGCGTGTATACAAGAAATTGTAAAGAGGTAGACACGACAGCGGAAAAAACGTTTTTGCGTACTCTCTGGCGCAGTTTGTTGCTTAAAATTTATTTGATTCCTGTCACATTGTTTAATTGCGACGAATGTACTGAAGAGTCACATGCCCTAATTTCGACACAAAATTTTTTGAATTTCATATTTCGTGTTTTTCTCAGTTCATTTAAAAATTCAGTAAAACTTTTTATATAGCGACGTAGTTGACATTCAAATCTGTCGATCTATGTAAAAATATTTGAGTTACCGCTTATATTAATTGAGATAAAAGGGTTAGAATAAACATATGTCTCGAACTTTTTTCTTTCCTAGTTTCAACACTCCCATACAAATACTTTTTTTACGTTTTTACATCTATGTTAAAAAAAATGTTCTTCTGGCCCTCCAAGTTGATCAAATCTTCTCAATTGTGTACAGGAAAACTACGGTGAATCGAACCATATATTTCTTTCTAAGAAAAGCACACGTTTTCATCGTCTTCTTCAGTAAAGAATAAGCTTATATGCGTGTCGAAATTATATCCTTATTTCGATATTCCACGTCTTTTTCTTTTTTAATTTCGACACTTCCATTGAAATACATGGCGTTTCAACAGACTGTAGAAAAAACGATGTGTATATGAAGTTGTTTATTACAATGAAAGCCTTCCTATGATGTTATAAAAGCGCTCATTTCGACCGTTATAAAAGATGAAGAAAATTTCTTTTTTGTAAAGTAATAGTGTAATGGTTAGAACAGTGTAATGGTTAGAACAAATGCTGCCATGGGATACAGGTTCGAATTCTACATAGATAGCTTTCTTTGCTTTCCTCTCACTACTTGACAGGCTTTTATCAGTCATTTAACTGAAAACTCTGTGATTGTAAGAGCCTTACGAAAAAGCCGCTTCATATGCCCCACAATATAAGTCTAAATCAACTTTAGCCAAGCACGTTCAAAACAAATCATTCAATCAATTGCAACAAAGTAGAAAAATTAAGCCATCAGCTTCTCTAAAAGGTTATTAACCATCATGAGCACGTTTGCTTTCTCACTTGTACCGAGGATCTTCGGAATCCAGTCACCACTCACCCTCTCAAGATCTTTATTCAATCTGAAGGACATCAGTTTTTGTTTTTCTCAACCTCATAGATAGAGATCATGCACAATTTACATCTTATTCGTCACCTTCCGCTCGGAATTCGTCAAAGTATTTCTTGTCTGCATGAAATTTCAATCATTTTTTCAGCACGTTTGACCATTGCACACGGATGCGAGGTACCTTACACACTCGAATAGAGCGCATTTTTCTGTATAAATTTCGCTCCCTTTGGTATTTCTTTTTGCTCTTTGTTGCGGTGGAACCGTTCAAACGCCGTTTTTGGCCCCAAAAAAGCACGAATATTATCTTTTTGCACATTACGTTATCGAAAGTTTTGATGTTAATATTCATGAACCGTACGCTTGACCTGATATATGCATAAGGCAAGTGGCTGGCTAGTGCCAGCTTGTGATCCTATTCGTAGGTGTTTTTTTCTCGAAAATATCAGGGAACGAAAAATACCTTGCCTTAGCTTCGATTCTTAGCAGACCCGTGAGAAGGACGAATGTCGTGAGCTTGAGAGAGAACGTTTTCATTTACAATGCAATCGAAAACTTGGAGACTGACGATCCTTTTCAGTTTTTGTGTCAAAATCTCCTTAGCTGTTTCTGTTTCAAGAAGAAATTAAAAACAAAAAAGGTAGTTATTTGTATTGTGATAATCGTGTTTGTCGAACAAAAGATGAATTCAGATATTTGTTGTTTATTTTGTGAACTGTGTAATTAGTTTATTTGCTCCCTCCTAATAAAGAACCAAGTGGTCGAAAATCATCTACAGCTAGAATAAAGTTTCATGGCTTTTGTTTGAGTAGCGCTACTGAAATTGTTGATTATAATTGTTCCAAATTGGAAGAAGGAAGAATACCCCGCCTTTCGGCTACCTGGCGGTATAGGGTGCTGTCCGGAGACAGTTTCGTAAGCCCGATATCTTTCCTACAACTAATATCATCTGTAGCTCTGGACCGAAGGTCAGCCTGACTCATAGTTCTTTCGCTCAATCGTACACATTGACTAACCACATACTAGCTACGGGGGCTAAGGTATGTCACAACGTAGTCAGCATGCTATCGGACGGGTGATCCGAGGCAAACAACCGTTAATGACTGGTCCAGGGTCATTCCATGTCCAGTGGCGCCGAGGCTCGAACGCAGTACCTGGGGGTACGTCCAAACAACTTAACCTCACAGCCATATTGTAGTACTGGCAAAGATTTGCGTGTGTTAAATAGATGACGAATAGCCGCTGCAACTAAACAACTGAATCCTGTTATCGCAAAGTACTTAATGTGCTTTTTCCTAACATACTTGATATATCTCAATCAAATATTACGTTCATTATCTTTTAAACTTCATCCCTACAATCTATATAGTAGCAGCTTTTTATAATATGTCTCTAATCTATCGTCGTCGTGAAATTTTTCTTTTTGTCAACTTTTTAGGAAATAAATAAAATATTTTCGAAAGTGGACATTTCGAAAATTGTGGTTTTCATTTTCAAGATAATAAAAACGTTTGACGCGATGTAAACTTAAAACGAACATAACTCAGCACACAAAACGAGTGGTAGTGAGAGACGAACAGATATCATTTGCGAAAAAGAGAAAAATACATTTATTCATCCAAGTGAGAAGAATAGATTTGTTTGTAAGAGAGAGGGAGAGAAAGAACCAGAGTTGCTTAAGTCAAAACTAGAAGACTTTTGTAATGGAATCAACGTGCTGTGAGACTAATATCTGAAGAATTTATTGCAAAACCATTCTGCTTTGAATGTTTGTAACTAAATAAAATGATTTATCCCCATTTTCTTAGTCAATTTACCTAATCAACAGTGCTACAGACAAGATAGCTTTTTTTGTTCTACCAACCCCTATCGCTAACTCTGGTATTATTTCATGTAAACCGTATCTAATTAAGTAATCAGTAGAAGAGTGGAATGAATCATACACGGAATCTAACAAGTCTTCTTCCATGTAATAAGTTTCGCATTGAAGAATCGTTTTGCCAAAGACTGCACTGTTTGGAAGGTATAATATACATGGGTGTGAGAGCTTTGCTGTTAATTAATTAATTAATTATTCCGAGATCTTTTATACAGAAATGCTTAAGAGACGATTCGCGAGGAAAGCGAGTATTTTGCGAAACACGCGTAAAATGCATCGCAAAAATGAGCATTGTCTCATATTTTAGATATAACTCCGTCATTTTTATCCGCTCTGGTCGACCAATGTCTCAGTAGAAAGACAATCAAAACCTAAACGAAATCAGTTGGGGGTACTTCCCTCGTAAGTCCTGGAGAATTACTTTGGCATATAATGCATTTTTTATTCCATATGATGGCCACGTGAGCTTAAGATTGCCAACTGAAGTTGTACGATTATCTGTATTAAATGGAAAATTACGTTTGTCAATTGAGTTTGGTGGCGAAACTTTC